GTGTGGTAGTGAACCCGGCGGCCGGGATTGATGGCGCAACGTTGCTGGTGCAATTGGACGGCTCATCCTGCCGGAGACAACGCCGACTCTACTTGGTGGGATGTGATCGGGTGCCGATGCCACGGCTCCATGCTGAGGTGCCATCGCCTACATAACCTCCTGCGGGGGGAGGGGGGAGGGCAGGAGTGCGCGTGTATATGTACGCAACGTACGATCTCGTCGCCGTGGCCCCCCTCCCTTCCCCCACAGGTCGCCGGTAGGCATGTAGGTAGGATGTAGGTAGGAAGATTGCATGCAATCGGTATCACAAGCTACCATGTATGTACGGGGTGGGGTTGGGGGGGGGGGAGATCTATCGTCGAGATTTTCGATCTGGAACAACATGGATTGAACCGGGGCTGGCCATGGGGGTGGATATTTCAGTGGTCTGTGGATTTTCCGTCGAGAGCGTTGTCGGACACAGACATGAATGCCACTCAGACGAGTGACATTATGTGCGTCGCGCGATCTGACTGGAGATTCACCCCGCGTTACGATCGGAATTCTCAGCTCACCTCGCCTCTGGAGATGATCTGCATGCGAGCCACGATCCTACTAGTTATTCACTATGTAATCGGTACTTGAGTGGCCACTCGTGTTTCGCTAGCCAGCACGTACTTGTTAAGTACCGTGTGCGACTGAAGTAAGTATGCGGCATGATGTACGGTACTTATTGTACACTCGTACCAATATTTCTTTTCTTTTTCCTCACGTGTGGGCTTGCCCTTTTTTTTTCAAATATTTTGTTTCCATTCTGACAGATATCCCCGCCCCCCAATCGACGGAGTTTCATTCGTATGACTTTCCGGTTCTGGAGGCTGGAGCGGGGTAGGTATGCAGCACGAGACCGGTTCCGATTCGTTTGGCTGGTTTGGCGGGTTGTCGGGACCTTGTTGCCCTTGCTTGCTTGGTTGCTTGGTTGCTTTGCTTGCCTTGCGCGTTTTTGCCTTATACCAACCAACCCATCCATCTCTTTGCACTCCCCATTTTCCGTTTGATTTTTCCCGACGGTCTGGTTAGGGGACTGACTGGCCGACCCACCGATCGGGCGTTCTGCGATCGGCCTCCCTCCAGCTGTCTGCGAAAGATGGAAGATGTGATTGGCGCCATGGCGTGTCACTCGTTTAAACAACCCCAACCCACACGACAACCCCGCAAATGAAACTGCAACCAACCCATCGCTTGCTTTTTGTCTGTCAGTGGAAATTCTCTCTCCACCTGCTCCTCCACCTGCCCGAGCTTCCCCCCCCCCCCTCTCTCTCTCCGACTCGTAAGAGCAAAAGCCAGGACATATCCGGCGCCGGCTGCAGCTGCAGAATTCGACGCGCCCCCCAGCGTCCAAGTTCCAACCAACGAAACGAGAGAAACCTTTTCTGCTGCATCGCTGCATTTTGCTGCACTGCAGCAACCTAATCTGCAGGCTAGTTCACACCACCACACAGCACACCACACTGTGCGTGCCCACCCGCATGAAGAAAAGCTCCCTCCCACCCACCGCAGAGCACAGCACAGAGTTCGCGATTGCATACCACACCTGGTATGTATGCATACATACCTGGCTCTTGGGTTCCGGAACGTAGGTGCTTGCATGTGTGCTATGTGTGCTATGTATATATGTGTGCTAGAGTAGGCAAGTCCTTGGGTACCTATGATATCACCCACCCACCCTCTCCACCGTACGGACGATGCAGCACGTACCCACCCACCTGTATCCGTCGCGGCCCCGGGTCGCCGAGCGGGCAGTGGGCACTTCAAAGTTCAGCATATGTCTCGGCTGCTCAACCTCACCTCACCTCACCTCACCTCACCGATTACTCTGCTCTAGGTAGTGCATGGGCGGGCAGGCGGTGCATGTATGTAGGAGCACATACACATCATAGGTACGTGGTGATCGTTAGGCAGATAGGTGCATACATAGAGTATCATAGGTAGTGATGTAGGTACCCAGCAGCGCAACGTGGTTGTGATTGTGGTTTACATATGCCCGCTGCCCGCTGCCCGCTGCACGGGTCTCGGTCTCGGTCTCGGTCTTACCAGAGGGAGCGTCCAAGTACCTATCCATTAGTTAGTTAGCGCATGTAACTAGTAGCGCCAGCGATCTCCGCGGGCACACACCGGCTCCTCTTTTTCGTCGGCAACTCTTCAAGCCCGACGCCAGATGGCTCTGCAGTTATCATCCGCCGAGGGTTCTCCTCTTAGAGTACTAGACTCCCACTGTACCGTACCGTAGCGTAGTGGAGTGGCGGCACAAGTACGGCCCACGGTACCCAACCGTCAAGGAACGGAGCCGGGAGCAGTGCCACTATATACCCGTATGTGCGGTAGTGTCGCGAGCGGGAACAGACCTCTAACTGGAATAGAGAACGCCGTGGCAGAAATGCAACGGGTCACGTCACCCTTCCCACCAGACCAGTACTGGACTAACTAAGGACCCGGCTCTCGAGTGCTAGTTGCTTAGGCAGGCGTACCGTATCGGCTTGAGTACCAGGCCAGTGGGCAGGGCAATGGGCAGTGGCCAGTCTGCCACCGCTCGGGTCCTGGACGAAGTCACGAAGCAAGACTCAACTCGGGGCCCGCCGCCCGCAGTTGGTCAGATCTTTCCCGCCCGGCTCGGCGCCAGAGACCGAAGACCAAAGATCTATCATCTGACGATTGTAGGTGTGTAGATATAGTACATGCCCCGGCGCAAACCGATCGATAGATCGTAGATAAGTACCTATTCCTTACAAACATACGGTATCCACAGTGGGACGTCAGCAGCCAGCCAGCTCCGAGACTCGAGACGAACGACCCCCACGAGGCCGAGAGAGAGAGCGAGAGCGAGGCGGGCACATACCAGTATGCATCATCATCATCATACGCACTCTAGAGTAGTGGAAGTCGCACTCCCCCCCTCCGCCGTTGATTCTTGGCGCAAAAGGCAAAAACACTGGGCACCTTGGCAAAAATTCGAAAAACTTTAAACCTCATCATCTCACAGCCAGCCAGCCAGCCAGCCAGCACGCACGCACGCAGCCACGAATTTGCAACGGGACACGACGATCGGTAGAGTACCGGCCCGTCGAGTCGGAGTAACTATAACTAGTACCCCTGTATTTTCCCACTGCCGATGCGATGCTGCTGGTTGCCCTGCCCTCCCATAGGTCTTCAAGCTTTGTCTGCCCGACGTCGACGTCAACCCGGCTCGAGTATGTATGAAATGGACCACGGTCCACCCAGTCCCACGAAAAGGGCAAGGTTTATAGTAGGTACCGTACCGTACTCTACTCCGGGTATGACATTGTGAAGTATATAGCCTGGGACATTTTAATCACCACCTACTTCATATAACCACCTACTTCATATCACATCTTCTCCACCAACCCAACCCAACCCAACACAACTCAACTCAACTCAGCTTATGGAGAAAGAAAGCAAAAACCAACCGTCTGCACGCACTCGCTTTGCCCAGATCTGAGACATCCATCCATCCATCCACCCATCCATCTGACTGAGCCCACAGAGCCCAGCCCATCGTTTCCAGTCCTGCTTCCCCTCTGACCTCAAGCCCCAACTTCCAAGCCGCCGGGTCCGTATCGATGGGATCATGGAGATATAACATATATAGCAGTAGTAGTAGATCAATCCCGGCCAGTTCTTCCCGGCCATCTGATCGGATCGGATCTAATCTGGAGACTGGCCGTCATGCGTAGATACTTAGGTACGACGAGATGGATGTGGGATGGATGGACGTGGGATGGATGGATGTGGGATGGATGTGGGATGCACAACTCGTCAGGAGTCGGGTTGAGATAGATTACTTACTCCGTGTATGAAGTATTTAATATTTATGTAGGTGGGGTGGGTAGGTGGGGTGGGTGGTATATGTGCAACTACGGTATCTCCACCGAGTCACCGATGTCTTGCCGGTCATGCGCCGGAGGTCGGAGGTCGGAGGTCGGGGTCGGGCATCGGGCGTCGAACTCGTCGCATCATCCATCCTCCGCGGCTACTCCATCGCATAATACTCTGTGGCTACTCTATCGTTATGTCGTTCCCGCCGCCGCTGCCGCTGCCGCCGGACGTGAAGGACCGTATGTACCTAACGAATGTATGTACCGTATTGAACACCGTCCACCCAGACTCCCAGACTCCCAGAGAAAGTGCATGTCCAAGTACTTAGGTACCTATGAATATATGGACCTATGGAGCATACCTATGGATCACAAGTATGCATGCCTTTCCAACAACCGTCGCCCCGCCCGCATTTTCATGCCATGTCATGCCGCCGCCCGATCTTGCACAACTCCAAATTCCCAAACTCATCAACGAGCTAGTCGTAGGTACATACGGTACTTAGCTAGGTACGCCGCCGTACGGTGCATCGGTAGGTACCGTAGCACGGTACGGTAAGTACATGTAGGTACGCCGCCGTACGATACTTCGGTACTTCGGTACTTCGGTAAGTACGGTAGAGCAGGTATTTACGGTAGGTCGCCGAAACGCCCTCTCCGGCTGTGCTCTGCTGGTGGGCTGATGGACTGGTACATACATACATGTTACGCGGTACTCTAGAGATCACGGCAGCCAGGCAGACGGACGGATCAAGATGTTGCTACCCGCCTCGGGGCCGTACATATGTGTGCATACCATGATACCATACATACCGGACACTGGACAGATCCCAGCCAACCGGGTGGTGAGATCTAGAGTAGATTTGTAGTAGGTATCACGCATGATAGGTATTACGCATAAAAGGTATTACTATTAGATAGCTGTGGTCGTTTCTCTCCAGCGCATGGCATATCGTTTTGCAAACATCGCGTTGTGCCTACGGATGCATTGAATCTTGATCGTCACACAGCCTACATACAGGCGGCCGGGCGTGCGGTCATGCGTTCATGCGTTCATTGTGCGAGCGTGCTGGTTATGCTGGTTATGCTGGTTATGCTGGTTATGCTGCTGTTGAATATGATGCTGGTGGTGGTTGGATCTTGCAATTGCTTGCTCTTGAAGTTCCTTCTTCATGCTATGATAACATAACTACAGGCTACAGCCAGCGCGCTCATTCCCAGCCACAGCAAGTACAGACTGTACAGTTACAGTGCACCACGATACCGCTGCCCACTGCCACTGCCACATTGTTGCAAGTACTTAATGTAGGTACGGTAGGTACGGTAGGCGGATAGGTATGCGAAAAGAAAGGCAACAAGAGCGACTTCCCAGTGTCAAGTTCCAAGTTCCAAGTTCAGTTCCAAGTTCCATCTCGGGAAAACTATCCACCTCTCTCTCTCCCAATTTCCCAAACAACAGAAATAACGCCCGAAACATACAAAAAAGAAAAAAGAAGAGGAAGAAGAAACATGGAAGCCGCAAGATGTGAAGCTGCTTAGCTGAAAAAGCACAAACATTATAGCAAAATCGGAAAGCAAAACGCCATGGTAAAGTAAAGTAAAGCACATCAAGAAAAAAAAAGAACAGAAGAATAGATACCCCCTCCCCCTTCCGCTCCCCGCCCGCTCCGCCGCAGCAGCAACAAAAACCCAGCCAGCCACGCAGACACAGAATGACATGTATTTTGCATCTTTCCCCCGTTCGTCGAAAGTGAGATGGGAAGGGAAAGATCAAAACATCTGAGCGAGCGAGTGCTGTTCAACAGAACCACCAAAAAGGAAAAGGAAAATTCTCCGGATAAAAAAACGAGTGTTGCCCCCAAAAACCAAAAGATCCCAATCGATCGAAAAGGAAGAGAAAAAACATACAGAGTGAATAAGAAAGATCTCGCCCAACTCCCGTCCGAAAAATCAGAATAAGCGAAAACAGGAAAGGTGGGTGGGTGGGTGGGTGGGGGAATGCTGCGTGAGAGAAGTAATAATGGGGTATAAAAAAATGCAGGTAGAAACTCGTCATCAATGCATCCATTCCGAAAGAGAAAGGGGGAAAAAAAGGCAAAGCCGCAAAATGCAACGAGCTGTAAAAATCCGTAACTGTCGTTTCTCACCCCCACCACCCAATAAACCATTCGGAGAAGTCAAAAAGAAACCAAGATTCCATCTTGGAGATGGTTAGCGAGCGAGCGAGCGGGCCCACCGTTGGTGGTGGTGGTGGCGGTGATGAGGACACTCGTCGTAAAGAAGTGGTAGGTCGCGCATCGAATAACAAAAAATAACAAACTCCATAATCTAAACAGGGCACCGCTGCTGCTACCGCTGCTTCCCAAGGAAATCGAAAAATTTTATGTGAGAAAAGTTGTTGATCCTCTATCGTTGTTTTAGTGATGTGGTGGTGGCGGAGGAGGAGGGGACATTGAGGCTGGTCTTCGGGCAATCCAGATGTGTCTATCATTGAACGTCAGCTACTAGATTTCGAGACAAAAACAAGTCAAAGCAATGGAAGGCATACATGTTGCTGTATGCATGGATCTGCTTCGAATTGATGTCCTTCTGCACATCTTTGAGGAAGTTCCTGACTTCGTCCTGGGGCCATTTCAAGACTCTGCATAATGGGCCCAATGAGAAAGCCTCGAGCCCCTCGCTCATGCCCAGGTTGTACCACCGTCCGCAGTCTTTGAGGTGGGTCTCTGCGGGCCATGGACTTAAGGGCAGCTGGTAGACAACTTCTTGAATGTCGGTGAATCCAGCATCGCGCAGCAGCTGCCCTGTTCGGTGCTCGTATGCCATTGGCTTTCCGGCCGCAGCCGTGGCGTCCATCACGTACTGCTGCCACCGGGATAACGCGTGGTGGCGCGTCAAAGTCCCATCGTCCGACCGTGCCTCCATATCGATGTCGACATATTCGAACCAACCATATCCAGGCTTCAGGTGTCTGATGGAGGGAGAGAAAGTTAGCCTATCGCTCTGATGATTGACGGCCGACCGACAGAAGCGTCATCGTGGCGAACTCCAACCCCTCACCCTCCCCCCCTCCCCCCACTCCCCCTCCCTTCTCCTCCCCTCCCCTCCCCAGGAAGGGCTGTATATGGCGCCACCAGTTGGATGAGGGTCGCTTACTGAAATACTCGAGAAAACAGAGTCGGCCAACTCGACACACTGCCGGCGCCATTCCTCAGGTGGATGAGATCGAAAGAACTCTTGCCGAGCGTCCATTCGCTTTCGAAGTCGGCAACTTGGAATCGAAGGTTTCGGGGGATCCTATTCAGGGGGAGGGGTACGTGTCAGTCCCACAGCTCGGCCCAGGTCGAAGACATATGCATCGCGAGCGGATCGATGTGGTGTTCTTACCATTTCGGTTGGATGAGAGAGAGGTCTGTTCCGATAACCTAAAAAAAAAAAAATCGTGCGTCAGTTGGGATCGTTCGTGCGCTCGGAGATCGATGGAGTCGGCCGCACCTCTGCGTCGCGGTACGTGCTAAAGCGAGAAATTCGAGTCAGCGAGCGTCCTCCGTCCAACCAGAGCCCTCTCCAAGAAGAACAAAAAGAACAAAAAGAACAAGAACAAGAACAAGAAGAGGAGCGAATTCTTACTCTGCCATTCCGATCGCCCAAATCCCCGTACCCGTACCGAGATCCAGTATTCTGGTTGGCCCATAGTTGTTGGGTGTTATGGGCGCCCGGTGGAGTTCCTCGTGTCGTGCGACCAGGAAGATTTTGTGAAAGATGTCGAGTCTGTCTTGCTCCCTCTAACAAACAACACGACCAGTCTCAGTACTGCATCACCCGAGAGAGAGAAAAGCGTGTAGGACGGCATCGTCATACCTCGTCGTTGGGGTACATGTATGCGCCGCCGCGATAGCCATGGTACCGTCGGCCATTCTCGAATTCGTAAGTGTTGGCAATGCTAATGATCCACGGAGTGTAAGTTACGTGCGAACGATAGACATTTGGAGGGAGGCTCCGAATGAATGAGTGGTTGTCTATTTACCCGTTGTATGCCATTGCGACGACAGCAGTTGGATCAGGACAAGATATCTGGAGAGTCTGTTTGGGCAACGGACATGAACCGGGGAGGTTGGGGTGGGTGTTATATAAACGTAGGCGTTGGGAGTCTTTAAGCTAGGTACTCCTTTCCCGAGAAAGCTGTTCGGGGTGGTGGCACAACAGTAGGTTGGGTTATGCAGTACAGGGCAGAAGGAAGGTGAGTGGATAATTGATAGATCGAGAGGGACGATCCGAAGTTTTTTTTTTTATGTTTGAAGAGAGGGACAGGGCGACAGGTGAATGGTGAATGGTAAGTGGTATGTGAGTAAGTCGGTATAACACAGAAAGCCTTGCGGGGGGTGGAGAGGGGATGGGTGGTGGTGGATCCGAAGGGATGGCCCTTGAGGATTGGGAGGGGGACTGGGGGGGAGGGGGAATATTTGGGGGAGGGTTGTTCGTTTTAGGGCGTTTGATTGGACGATGTCAACGGGCAGTGTTCGAGCAGTAGGCAGACGCGCACTGTATTTGCAGTGTATGGCAAGCGATTTGTGGACCGTGGTGGACTGGTGGGTGTCGAAATAAGTTATTGTTCGGGGGCTCGAGGCGATGGATGGGGCGAGATGGTGGGATGGGATGGGATGGGAAGGGAAGCGGTGAAGAAGGGCGAGGAGGAGTGTTCTCGAGTTTTGGCTGATTTTGGGGTTGGGGTTTGGGGGTTGGGGTGGTGGTTTGGGGGGAGGGGGTGTTTTGGTAGTTTGGGGGTTGCGAAGAAGCAGAGGGCGAGGAGGAGGAGTGGCACGGTAGTAGTATAGGACAGGATGGGATGGGGGGATGGGGACAGGATGGATGTCGGGCAGAGTCAAGTCTGCTAACCACGCTGGCCTCCTATCGATTGTGGGATACGGATTTGCGAGATTGTTTTGCGAGCGGAGAGCAAGGACAAGGTCTTGGGGCAGTGGGACGACAGGGAAGGAAGCCATGATGTGTGTGCGAGTCGTTGTGTGGGCTCGGGCAGAGTGTGGGCTCGGAGGTTTGGTGGAGGGGTGGCGTTGAAGGAGGACGAAGGGCGAGAAGGACATTGGGGCCACGATGGGGCCGGGAAGGAGGGACATTGGAGCCATGATGGCCGTGCTGGCTGTGGCCATGGCAGGGAGGAACGGACCCTGGAATGCTCGGTGGTGGTTGTGGAGAAACCATTGGGACGGCGAGCGAATTGAATGCGCTGAATTGATTGAGGCAGGATCCAAACCAAAGTGCTGGGAGCCGTGTAAACGAGAGGAGCCAGCCGGCCCCCATCCCATAACCACAAACCACCCACCGCTTGACTCGACTCGTCCATCCCATCCCACCACCACCACCACCACCACCACGACGATTACTATTACCACCACCATGATTACTACCACCACCTCCACCACCTCCACCACCTCCACCACTACTACATACCACCACCACCACCTCACCCACGACCACTGAGCACTCCCCCTCCACCCCATTCGCCCATCGATGTCGCCAGGTACTAACTGTCGGCGAAGGTACGTAGCCCCCGCACTGTTCATGGCATGTACCTGCTACAGCGATGTGTTGCCGCGCGCGCCCGTATGCGTATCGGATCCGACGTCCGACCGGCCTTCGTCCGTTACATGCATACATAAGTCGTTACTTCTTTACATATGCTAACTAACAGCATACCCTGCCGGCATCCTTCCCCGCGCGCGCTCTCTTGCCCTCCGAACCCGCCCCCTCCCCCGCCCCCAACGGCTCCGAGTCCGACTACATCTTGGTACATACTTGCCGTGGTAACTACATAATACTATAATAGTCGCCTCGATCCACGCTGCCACTCCCGCTCCCAAGTGTGTGCGGTCTGTACCCGTATGGGATGGCGAGGGAGGGGGCATGGTATGTATCTACTGCTAACTCGCTAGTTAGTCCGTAGTTACAGTGGGTTCGGATCGAGAGCTGCCGGCGACGGTGCGAAGAAAAAAAAAGAAGCAATGACGGAAGAGCCATCGACCTGTGATCGGTAACTACATGACCTACCGTACGTGCTCTGATGGTGGTTCGGTACTTGGTCGGTAGCCGAGTAGACTTCTCATGCTCGACATCAACGACTACATATCATACCTAAACCACTCCTGAGGTGCTAGATAGGACGCCTTGCTCCAGGTAGGTAAGTCCTTTCCACTCTACCTACTCCACGCTTTGCTCTAGGCAGGTAAGTCCTCTTCACCCTACTCCGCTAACTACTCTGGTAGTTGGTGCAAGTCCGCAGCTAAGCACTTGGTTAATCGAATCGCATGTTTTCCGGTAAATTCCTTTGGGATGGAGAGAAAAGACAAGCCGGCGCTGCACAGCAGAGTATCCGTTGCAAGGTACCCCGACTGCAAACGCAGCTCCTGGATGGAATAACTTGATGAATCCAATAAACGAATAAACAAAGAAATGAAAGAAGAGGAATAAAGGGAAGAAATGAAAGAAATGGGAAAAGAAAGAAATAAAGGAAAAGAAGGAAATAATTGAATGAGGAAATGAATAAATGAATAGTAGACAGATGAACAAATAAAATCCCGACCATCATCCCAGAGACAACCCAGCGCTGCAGCCAAAGCAGGAGACAAAATGCCAACGCATAACTGGCTACCGCAGACGTCGCCGTCGCCGGCAGATGTGAACAGTGTCGGGGGTGTTCGAACCAGATCAGAAAGCCATCATCTTCTTTCTTTCTTTTCTACCGCCCCATCTACTCTACATACCTTGCTTGCAAGGAGGGTTGAATGGAGCGCGCGCAACATCCCATTCCCTCCATCCGCACGGGCGATTGCCTAAGGATGTCTTGCTGCGGTAACTACTACCTCATTGCCTTGTCGCACAAGACGATGTGGGGAGGAGGAGGAGAAGGAGGAGGAGTCACCGGCAGATATAATGAGGCTTGAGGTGTATGGAGAGTATGTACCGGAACACACTGGAAGCTTTCTCCCTCTAGCCGCTGGCGTGCGGCCCCCCCCTCCCTCACCATCCTCGCTATCCTCGACATCCTCGACATCCTCGACATCCTCTGATCACTCAACCTGCCACCACCACTACCACCATCACCACCACCACCACCACCACCACCACCATCATCATCATGCTCGACTAGACGACTCAACCCAACTCCTCACATACTTCTCCGCACATACTTTCTCCGCACACTGCAACACTGCAACTCCTCACATACTTCTCCACACGTACTTCTCCGCACGCTGCAACGCTGCACCGGCCTTTATACACACCCCATGTACCCTCCGGATTTTATTTCCTTCTTTCTCTTTTTCCCCTTCCCTTGGGTTCCAATGGGTGGGCGGGTGTGAGTGTGTGTGTGTGTGCGTGTGTGGGTGAGTTGTGTGTGAGTGTGTGTGAGAGTGTGTGTGATGAACTACTCTAGGTAAGCATGTGCTGCTGACGACGTGGACCCGACCGCTGGGTTTGGCCTTCTACGCGATCTCGCTGCTTGCCTGCTTGCTTCCTGGTACCGGGCCCCAACGAAAACCGTGAACGAACGAAGAGGAAGGCAAGCAGAAGATATTGATACCTGGTCCCTGCGCTGTGCATTGCAGTGAGCCAATGGAGCCTGATACCTGCATGGCGGCGAACACTTCGAACCGTAAGGTAACCCGCATGCTTTAGCTGGGAACGCTGAGTGTTTGGGAAGGGTCGTGGGTGCTTGCTGCTAGTGGTCACTGCTGCTGCTGCTGCTGCTGCTGCTGATGCTGGTGGTGGTGGTGCTGCTGCTGCTGGCGGTGGGCCCCGCGTCCGGGAATTCCTCATGCAGCACCAGAAGCATCTTGCGCTGCTCGGTGAAAGGTGGCTGCAGATGCTCCATCTCCGTTACCAGGGCTACGGAAAGGGTGATGATTTACCCACTGCCACTTGGATGGACTCTGTCACTGCGTGCACTGTGCAGTGCAGTGCTGTGCTGTGGGCGCAGTGCGTCGTCTCGCGCAGGGGCAAGATACCATAATACACCCAGTGCTCTACAGTACCGTACATACGAGTACCTATTGCGCACCAGAGTAACGTACTCTGCTCTAGCACTGCGTGAGTTGCCCTAAGCAACAGACGTTTCATCCCCAAGGGTGCATATTTTTATATTTTTATTCCACGATACCCCAGATGGAAGGGGGTTTTTTTTATTCGTCGCTAACGGCGATTGTGCGTGGGATTTCTCCTGCTCTAGTGTTGCGCACACCCAGCCATCTATCTATCTGCTTTACGACTTTGGTGGCCTCGCGGAGTCGGGGGGGGAAGGGGGGGGACGATGCCGAACGTCAGGGATCCGCTGGGATAAGGGACCGGTCCGACTGGACACTTTCTGTGTGCGGTACCAGACTGTGGGGATGGAAAAAGCAACCATGGACTCATGGAGGGGTTATGTGAGCTCTTCTTACCTGGGGCGCGGCTGATCCCTCCAATGGGGTGACGAATGGATTTCCAGTCGTCAGGAGATCTCCGAACCACGGCCAATCCCATCGCTGCAACAGCGGCAGCACTGCACATTACATTATGATTATTGCCGCTGTGTGTGTGTGGCTGTACGTATGATACGTTCGGTGGGCCCGTCTGGTCTGCGCGTATGTAGACGGGACATACGCACTCTACCTGCACTACACTACATAAACTTGGGACAGTCGGGCTCGTTTCCGCGGAAAGACGTCCTCATCGTGCTCATGCTCATGCTCATGCTCGTCGCGCACCTCCGCTCGCTAACCTCTTGGTACTCTACCCACCTCCAAATACGCACGATCGAGATCGGTGGAAGGCCTACTAGCCGGAGAGACATCCTCAGTGTGACGAACTGCAATACAAACAGGAGAGACACGCTGTGACACAGCAGCATGTCCAACTCGGTCCAGACTCCAAGGGCTCACTACCTATTTCTAGCACTCTCCCTGTTCTAATTCCGATACTTCCAGAAATCCCTCCGCCCCCCCAAAACCTGCCTCCTTGGAACTTTGTCGGTGGTAGAGATGTCTACATACAGCTCTGCATCCTCTCCCCTCGCTTTTGCTGACAGGGAACAGGATATTACCTGGACAAATCAGCCACACGAGCTCCGTCGGGAACCTTGGCCGATCTGGCCCTCGGGAAAGTCGGGGAATATATTATTCGCGCCACATGCACCTTCATACCCCCCTCCTCCCCCCCCCCCCCCCCCCCCCCCCCCCCCCCCCCCCACCCACGACGGAGCCATAGTTCTTCTCCGACGGCAGTCCCGCAGCTAGACATCATCATCGTCATCCTCGTCGTATCTACCGTAAGCATGACGGCCCAGCTACAACCAACCGCCAGCAACATCATCTTCCGGTAGTTCTTCTTCTATACCTACCTCATAGGAGAACGAACGTGTTGCTGGAGACAGGTTGGGCGGGACTCTGCTCGGTTGATTCCCT